GCCCCGCCCCCGCCCCGCCCCCGCGCCAAAACACCGCCTTGACTCTAGGCAGAGCAGCGTCTCCGCCTCCGCGGTGGGACAGAACCAACCGCCGGACAGCTCACCGCCACCCGCGGGCCCTGAGCCGCAATGTTCCCCCGGGAGGCGAAGTGGAACATCTCCTTTGCGGGCTGCGGCTTCCTCGGCGTCTACCACATCGGCGTGGCCTCCTGCCTCCGCGAGCACGCGCCCTTCCTGGTGGCTAACGCCACGCACATCTATGGCGCCTCAGCCGGCGCCCTCACTGCCACGGCATTGGTCACCGGGGCCTGCCTCGGTGAGGGACTGGGGCTGGGGCCGGGCGGGTGCGGTGTGTTGTGCTCCGAGGGTGCCCGCGGGGCGAAGGCTGGGGCGGGCAGGTGCCACTGCCCTGGAGGAAAGAGCAAGTGGCAGGAGGGGGGAGGGACTGGAGGTGAGCTGGGGCCCCCTGCGTCTGGGCAGCGCTCCACACAGCCTGGGACTTTGGAGTTCTAGGCTGCGTTGGCCAGGGTCCCCAAGCGAGGGTGGCCTCCAGGAGTGTCCAGTTCCTGTAGCCTGGTCCCTCCTGAGGATCCTGGAGGAAGAGCCCAGCCAGGGCTGGGGCTAGACCTCCCTGTGCAGGGCCCCACCAGCCTGGCTCCCCAACTGTGGCCGGTGCTGCTGCCCACCTTGAATGGACAGGAGTGTTAGGGTCCCAGTGCCCAGGGCTGGGCTCTGTCACACACCAGGCGCCCTGCCACATGCCTGGTGTTTACAGTACACAGCGTCCTTACAAGTCCTGGGAACTGCTGCCCAGTCCCCAGCCCCCTAGGTCAGCCAAGGTGACTGGATGCGCTGCCCATTGGGAGCCTGTCCAGCGTTTTCCCCTGCCTTTCTGTGACCTCTGCCCTCAAGGGGGAGGAGACAGGGGCACAGCTAGTTCTCATCGTCCGTGGTTCACTTTCCTGTCCACCTAGGGAGGTCTTCAGACTGGTGAGTGCAGTCTGCCCCTCTGCCTGCTGGCTTTAGGGTACTGGCCATTCTCACAGAGCTTCCACCCCGCCCTGCAAGCCACCCCTCAGAAGGCTTGGGCATCCAGAGCCCTTGAAGTGTGGCAGGTGCTCTCTCCTGCCCAGGAGGGCCCTGGAGGACATGGCCCTTGCTTTTCCTCCAAGATCCTCCTCTCCTTGGCCTCTCTGGCATTGACTGGTCAGCAGTAGTGAGCCCCTGAGAGAATGCTGGAGTGCCTGCCGTTGGTTACAGAGGGCCACAATTGTTTCTTCCCAGAAGATGGGCCCACTCCTTTCAGCCTGCTGCCCTTGGCCCCAAGCTGGCTGGTCTTTGTGTGCCTGGACCCCTGCTGGATCTAGCCAAGTGGGTAAAGGCTGAGCCTGGTCAGAGTTGAGCCTCTGCCTTCTCCCCTCTCCTGGGCTGTGTGCCATGCCAGGCCCAGTGACTCATGGGGACAGGCAGCTGGAAAATACCAGGCAGAGGGCAGGTCTCAGTCCCAGCCAGCCAGCCCTTGTGGTCTGGCATCCTCATGGTGTACCTAGGGGCAGATGCTGGAAGTCCCAACTGGGAGCTCGGCCCTGTGGGAGGGAAGCCTTTAGGTCAGTGGGGATGCTGCAGGTGTTTGCACGATGAGACTGGGGCATAGAGCCACAGAGTGAAGTTAGCCAGCCCCGAAGTGCTGCCCCTGACTTGGCCTGCTGTGTTAGGTGAGGCAGGTGCCAACATCATCGAGGTGTCCAAGGAGGCCCGGAAGCGGTTCCTAGGCCCTCTGCACCCTTCCTTCAACCTGGTGAAGACCATCCGGGGCTGCCTACTGAAGACCCTGCCTAATGATTGCTACGAGCGTGCCAGTGGGCGTCTGGGCATCTCCCTGACACGGGTGTCGGATGGCGAGAATGTCATCATCTCCCACTTCACCTCCAAGGATGAGCTCATCCAGGTGGGCCTGGTGAGCCACACCAGGGGCACAGGATGACCTTGAGGCCCTGCTCACCTGTCCCTCTGTCCTACCCTGTAGGCCAATGTCTGCAGCACCTTTATTCCTGTGTACTGTGGGCTCATCCCTCCCTCCCTCCAAGGGGTCGTGAGTATCCTTGCCCCAGTACCTTCTTTGGGGGTAGTGGAGTCAGCTGTCTTCTGGCTGAGTCTTGGGCTGGCGGTGGCCTGGGCCTTGCTGTGCCCCGACTGCTTGTGGGCTCAAGCACTTCCTGTTACTCAAGAGGCGGGCAGGCAGGCGGGTGGCCCTGGGGAGGTGTGTACTTCCTGTTAGGGGCCATCTGCAGCCAATGCCCAGTGGGTGAAAGGTCCAAACAAAACAGTCACCAGGTGGGGCAGCCAGCATACCCCTCACCATGTGATCATGTCTGTGTCTGTGTCTCCACAAAGCGCTATGTGGATGGTGGCATTTCAGACAACCTGCCACTCTATGAGCTCAAGAACACCATTACTGTGTCCCCATTCTCGGGGGAAAGTGACATCTGTCCTCAGGACAGCTCCACCAATATCCACGAACTTCGGTTTACCAACACCAGTATCCAGTTCAACCTACGCAACCTCTACCGCCTCTCCAAGGCCCTCTTCCCACCGGAGCCATTGGTGAGGGGCTGGCCTGGTCACCCTGTCTCCACAGAGGATAGGGAAGAAGGATCCTGGGGTGGCCAGGGGTCCTGTGGCCTCTTCAGAGCATTGGGCAGTGTCGTGTCCTACACACCCTTTCCAGACAGAATAACTGGTGTCTCCTGCTAATACTTGTGCTGGGTCAAGGACAGCTTGGTAGTGGTTGCAGGGTGGTAGTGGAGACAAGTTTGTGGGAACCCTAGGAGACAGGGCAGGCCACACATGCATCCCTGTGTCGCAGGTGCTTAGAGAGATGTGCAAGCAGGGCTACAGAGACGGTCTGCGCTTCCTGCGGCGGAATGGTAGGCCTGGCAGGCCTGGGCCATGGGCGGCAGGTTTGCATGCCCACTGGGAGCAGGCCATGGCCAGTGGCACCTCCTTACTTGTTGGTCACCGCACCCCTACCCAGGCCTCCTGAACCGGCCTAACCCCCTGCTGGCACTGCCCTCCGCCCAAGGGCCCAAGGAGGAGGACACAGAGGGGGCTGGCATGGGTGCAGAGAGGAGCAGTGCTGAGGAACAGCCACCTGCGCCCATCGAGGACCACATCCTGGAGCATCTGCCTGCGAGGCTCAATGAAGGTGTGCGGTAGGAAGGAGAAAAGTCAGGATTGTGCAGATGCAGGCACTGGGTGGCCTCCAACTGGCCCCAATCTTTTGCCTGCAGCCCTGCTGGAGGCCTGTGTGGAGCCCAGGGACTTGATGACCACACTGTCCAATATGCTACCTGTGCGGCTGGCCACAGCCATGATGGTGCCCTATACCCTACCACTGGAGAGCGCCGTGTCCTTCACCATCCGGTCTGAGGCAGAAGGGGCTGGGGGAGGAGGCACTGTGGGTGGTGGTCACCCTGGGAGTACCCCATGGGACCTGGCTGCAGCCCTGACCGGCCCCTGTCCCCAGCCTGCTGGAGTGGTTGCCTGACGTGCCTGAGGACATTCAGTGGATGAAGGAGCAGACGGGCAGCATCTGCCAGTACCTGGTGATGCGTGCCAAGAGGAAGCTGGGCAGTCATCTGCCCTCCAGGTGGGCTGCCTGATTGCCGTATGCCTGGGCCTGGAGTCTCAGGGCCCCCTCTGAAGTCCCTGCTCCTTCCTCCTGCAGGCTGTCTGAATCCACAGAACTGCGCCGTGCCCGGTCACTCCCCTCTGTGCCGCTGTCCTGTTCCAGCTACCGGGAAGCACTGCCCAACTGGGTGCGCAGCAACCTCTCACTGAGTGATGTGCTGGCCAAGTGGGAGGAATGCCAGCGCCAGCTGTTGCTGGGTCTCTTCTGCACCAATGTGGCCTTCCCTCCAGATGCCCTGCGCATGCGAGTGCCGGTAGACCACCCCACACCTGTGGACTCCTTGACCACGGACCCCACACCTTCCCAGCAGCCCCCAAGCCTGCCTCCATGCTAAGTGCCCTCTCCCTCCCAGCTGGGCTCCACAGCCTCCCTGTCTGGGAACTTGGCTGCAAGGGCCAGATCCCACCCTGGCCTCTCCAGTTACCCAGTGTGGAGTAAAGACTGGTCCTCACGCTGCGAAGAGGGGGCTCTGGTGTGCACCCCAACCACTCACTTGCTGCCCTGGGTGAGGAGCTCCAGTGTTTGTGCCTTAGTCTCCTCCCCTTTTGCCCCCTCCCCGCACAGGCTTCTTTTGAGAACCTCACACCTGCACCACCCGCCTGTTATTCTTGTTTTGCTGAACAATATGTGTGAAGAATTATTTATTTTTGCCAAAATATATGTAATAAAATACTACAGCTCAACCTTTGTGTGTGTGTGTGTGTGTGTGTGTGTGTGTGTTTGAGACAGGGTCTCCTTATGAGTCCAGGCTG